GGCGCTGTGGGCCCAACCGGCAGCGCCCCAGCTGATCTACCACAGGCGTCCGGAGAAAAGCCTGGTCTGCTGGGGGGGGAGGGGCGTACTGGTCTGGGGAGACATGGAGCAAAGCTGCGGAGCATGCGGGCAGCGGACAGCCCAGGCGCGCCGCGGCTGTCCTGCTGCCGGCGTCCTCAGAGGCTTTGCTCCCCGTCTCCCTGGTCTGCTGATCTCCAGCAGACCAGGAGCAAACCCCGTTTGTAACTGCGGATCCGACATAAGTTGGATCTGCGTAACTCGGGGACTGCCTGTACATGCGCCAATACATCCAGCATTTCCTTCTGATTCTGGCAGACAAACTGCTGGTTTGTAATTTCTTGGATCTCTTCACTACTGATGAAGTCTTTTCATCCAACACGCAGGATCTTTCTAAGGCACTTATTTTCAAAGGCATCTGGTTTTCTGTCTAATTGTTCTGATCTAATCCAGCCCTCACAGATGTATGTTAGCAATGAGATTACATTTGAGTTGAAAATTCTCAGGTTTGTTTTGGCACCGTGTATCTTTGCTTTCCATAAATTATTGAATTTAGTGACTGCTGTGAATGTCCTTCTTATCTTTGATGTAATTTATTTCCTGAACACTCCACTGGCTAGCCTAGTGCTACCTAGGTAAATGAACTGTTCTACTTGCTTGATGATTTTACCTTCCAATAGGACACTACAGCTTAGCATCCGGGTTTCAAGGATATTTGTGTTGATATAACTGATTCTGAGCCCTGTTTGTCCTCCTATTTTTGTTTTTAGCTTCTAAGGGTGTCATTCAATAGCATGATATCATCAGCAAAGTCTAGTCTTCTAGGTATTTGGCAACTATGCATGTTATGCCAGTGTTTGTGTTGGTAGTATGCTGCTTCATTGTCAGATACAGAATGCAGCCATTTCACACCACTGTTCATGCTGAATCACCCTGTTGTCTGGTAGTTCACTCTTACACTACACTTTGTATTACAGTAAACTTCCGATAATCCGGCACCTTTAGGACCCAAGGGATGCCGGATTATCAGATTTGCCAGACTATCGGAAGGGGGAGCTATGAGGGGTCTGGGGTGGCATCCCCCCCACCCCACCCCAGGCCCCTCATAGCCCCCCCTTCCGATAGTATGGCATATCTGATAATCTGGCACCCCTTGGATCCTAAGGGTGCCGGATTATTGGAAGTTTACTATAACACATCTACACAGCGCGTTTTATTTTGAAATAGCGCCATAGTGCAATTATGCAAATGAAGCGCGGGATAGTTAAATCCCAGCTTCATTTGCAATTTCGAATGTCTTCTTTTGCATCCCTATTTCGAAATAGGGTGCAAGTGTATACAGACCCATAGAGAGTTAACTCTCCCAGGAAGTGCCTGATGGAAGAAAATTAGATATTTGCAGTAGCATCTGCATGACACACATGCCCACGCCTACATTTAGATAAAGGCTTGTTGTGAATAAAAAAGAGGCGGCATAAGACAGTATGAGGTGGTATGTGCAAGAGCTTTTCTGAATCAGAAATATCATTGTGAGACTGCCAAGTAAATCTGAACCAAGGTTTTGTTTCCAAGTCTCTTCACAAAGAACCGAGGGTGAGCACCCCAGCTGCTCTGCCCTAGGCATCCCCGATTCAGCCACTGGTCAGTTTTAGCAGTGGCTGAATCGGGGAAGCTGGGAGCAGAGCAGCTCCACTGGTCCGGCTGCCCGGAGCACTTCCGGGTTCCTGATGGTGCTGGACCATCAGGAGTGCCGGACCATCAGATGCCGGACCATCGGAGTTTTACTGTATATTGCTATATAGCACTAATGATGTTGATCACTTTAGTTGGAATTCCACAAGACTGAAGAATAATCTACAATGTATGCTTCTGCAGGCTATCAGGTGCCCTTTGAAAATAATCTCTGAAATAGATAATAAGGGGAGCTTGCTATTCTGTACATTCTTCTATGATAGAGAGGAACTCCTCCAAAAACACCCTCCATTTGTTTTATCTAGAAGTATAGAAACAGAAGACAGGAAGGACTGATATCCACCACCACTCCAAGCCTCCTGTAATTACAAGAAATTATGTGGAATATATCTATCTGATTTTTTTTATTGAATCTGAATATTGTGGATTCTGCCAATAGCTCCAGGAATAAGTAATTTTAAATGTTAATTACCATGGTGAAGGGTGAGGGGAAGAATCTATAGCTAAAAGGATTAAATATATATCATGCATTTTAAAGCAAGAATACCGTTTGTCTGTGCCAGTTGCAACGCATCTTTACTATCTTGTAGATTTCCACCTGTAATCATAAACTGAAACAAAGAAAAATATTGTTAGTAAATGTGTTCAACTCTGAATTAATAGCAAACAATTAGAACTTAGACAAAGAAAAACCTAGCAGTTATAGGTTACTATACTAATATTCTGATAAACCATGCATGACTCTCAAGAGACATATTAGTGCATATACTATTGGCCAAGTTGTAGCTTTTATTCTGTAGTACATAAATGAGTCTTCCACCTGCCAGTCACAGTCCATTCAATTGGTGCAATATCACTATTAATAATAATATTGACATTTTTTATTTTCCTCTTCAAGGCACTTTACTGGGTGCTGTGAGGATTCAATTCATTTGTAAAACATGATCCCCATTTTACAGTTGGGGAAATCAAACTAGAAGGATTTTGTAATTTTAAAAAGCCATCTAGGGAGTCAGTATCAAACCCCAGGATTATAAATTCAGGAGTTTCTGACCTCATTTCACGAGGCATACCAGAGCGGTCAACAAAGGCATCCCTTGTCGACCGCGGCACATCCTAACTGCCGGTTAAACTTTTTAAACATGCCTAAGCACAAATTCTACACAGCATATTTTAAATTGTGTGTTGTGACATATGCAAAGGACAATGGAAACAGAGCAGCAGAGAGAAAATATTCTGTCAACAAAAAGTCTGTTCAGGAGTGGAGAAAAGGAGTGGAGAAAGGAAGAAGCAGAGATTGAGAAATTACACCCTATGAAAAGAGCGCGCCGCGGAAAGAAAGCCAAGTGTCCGAATCTAGAAGAAAACCTGTTGAAGTAGGTTCGTGTACAGAAAGAGAACAAAACGGGCAGTGTCAACGGTGGCCATACAGCTCAAGGCTCGACTTATGGCTATGGAACAGAAAATCTATTATTTTAATGGGGGCTCGGGAAATGTACCAAGTAAGAGTCAGTCTTGTCTTCCTGTAATTTCAATTAAAAAAAAAAACTTGTATAACATGTGGACGAGTATAGCCGGGGGGAGGGGGGATGAAAAACCTTGCATAACCCATGGGTTATATATGCTAAAAGACGGTATATTTTATTATCCTTACTCTATATATGAAAGAAAAATTTTCCTGTGGGACCACATCATGTGTCACTCTCCATCTTGCAAGAAAAGTTTTCGTCCTGCTGCCCCTCCGCCCTCATCTGCCTTCCCACTCACACCTCCTCAGCTGCCGGGGGAGGGTGCTGTCCAGGGTGACTGGCACCAGGTCTGCAAGTGGCTGTTCCAGGGCCAGTCCGAGGAGGTGCACTACACCATAGAAAAATTTTCCTGTGGGACCACATCATGTGTCACTCTCCATCTTGCAAGAAAAGTTTTCGTCCTGCTGCCCCTCCGCCCTCATCTGCCTTCCCACTCACACCTCCTCAGCTGCCGGGGGAGGGTGCTGTCCAGGGTGACTGGCACCAGGTCTGCAAGTGGCTGTTCCAGGGCCAGTCCGAGGAGGTGCACTACACCATCGAGGCAGTCTGGGGCCTGCCCCCCCTCCCCCCCGACTTGCTCCCACTGGAGGTGGCCCACAG